TTCTTCGTCGTGGTCTTCTCTGCAGGCGCGCGGCGGCTTCTTCAACCGGCGGATCCGCTATGACAGACTTCTTCTCCGATGGCGCCTTCGGCTATGGCGCGCAACTCTCCCTGCGGCACACGACGATCGCGCGTGGAATAGCGGGTACCAGCTCTGATACCAATTGCAATCAGACTCGCTTTCATCCACACTTCACATGCATGCAAACAGGTTGCGCAGCAAACTGGCGACAGGCGCCCACTCAGAACTCAGAGATATAGTAACCAAGAACACAGTTCAGATACAGTTCGCTTCAGATGGCTATGGCACATCAGCGCCTACACAACTCTCTGTTCATCACTTCACCCAACTCCACTGTTCACATGCACTCAACTTAGGATCACCCTGGATATCCCACACGCATCACGCTATACACTCACGCACTCACACACGCCACACTCTTCTATCAGCTATGGCGGCTATGGCCGCTGCTACCCTATCGCCATGGCTAAGCTCTTCTTCTCGCCCACTTCGTCTTCGGGCTCACTGCAGACCACCTCGCACGAGTCACTGTGGCAGCGCTTCCGCATGGCTTACGCAGGAATGAATGAATGGCTGGGCGCTGCCTCTTGATTTATACTTCTGTAGCTCGTTGGTGTGGCCCTTTCCCATGCCCGTGGTGCACACTGTCCCGTACGGTACTTGCTTGACTGGAGTAGGACTGACTGGGACTGGGACCGCTGACTCAGCACGGGTAGACTCCACCACTTGCCCACTTGCTTCAGCCTGAACGTGAGCAGCTTCGAAAGGCCAGTGCCAGGACCTTCCGGAAGTTTCAGTCCTGGCCTTTCGGATACTGTCGCAGCTACGACCTTGACCTTTCAGAGGTCCTACAGCTACGACTTCTAGAACCCCCTCATTCTACAGGTCTACAGATTGAACCCCTACAATCTACAGACCCTAAGACAATCTACCAACTGTGGAAACAGACACAGGTCGTGGGTTCAACTCCTGGGGTCGACTCAGGTAATGTACACAGGTAAGGTAAAGTCTAGGGATCGAGCCCTGGGATCTGCATTCGCTACTGCGAACAGGTGAATACCATTTCAATAACCAAGAAGAAATTGAATATGAATATTATGAATAGTTCCAAGTCTCTCGCCAACTCTCCAAGTTCAATCAGATTCAAACAAGAAGCCAAGAATCACAAGCAAATAAACTCGGATCACTAGCTCAGCAAGCTTACAGAACCTCCTTCATTATTCCAGCATCACCCGAGTCATCTCCGACCTTTCTGGCCATGGCGCCCAGCCAAGACCCACTGCTCCCAGCCCTACAGGCCTGCAGACAATCAGCGCCACCTCAGAAAACACCCATAAGTACCAGTGCCAACCTTTAACCACCAGTACATCTGGAGAATTGGAATGAGCCTCTCTAAAAAGTTAGGGGACTCAGCCGCCTTCCACGCCCTCTCCCCGCTGTCATCCTGACCTTCCCTGTCACCGTCCTCCACATCCGCCTCCCAGTCATCATCCTCCACATCCGCTTCCCCGTCATCATCCTCCACATCCTCCTCCCCATCATCATCCTGCACATCTTCAACCCCATCATCGTCCTCCTCCTCCCCTTCCAGTCCATCATTGCCCGGCCCTTCCGCCAGCTCCAGATCTCCCACCTTGAACAGGGAAACACGGCCTCCAAACGAAATCTGGCCTGCCTCCCCCTCCCTGCCCCTCTGCTCCGCCACACTCGTCCTCGACCGCCTTCCCCTACCCCTCCCTGTCATCCTCCTCCTCCTGTGCCAGGCTCCTCCTCGGCTACCTTCCCCTCCCCTTCAGCATCGCCCTCCTCCCTCTCATCGTCCTCCGCATCATCATTCTCCACATCTTCCTCCCCGTCATCGACTTCCTCTGACTCTGGCTTTCCCGCCTCTGCTCCGCCTTGATCCTCCTCAGCGACCTTCCCCTCCTCCTCCCCGCCATCCTCCTCAAGTCCTCCTCATCGGCTACCTTCCCCTCCTCCTCCCTGTCATCCTCCCTGTCCTCCCTGTCATCGTCCTCCTCATCCTCCTCCCCATCATCGTCCTCTGCCTCCTCCTCCTCCTCCCCTTCTGGTCCATCATCGCCGTGCCCTTCCGCCAGCTCCAGATCTACCATCTTCGTCTGTTTTTTTTTTGTTTTTTTTTTTTAATCCCTGGTCGCTGTCTCCACTCTAGGATCTCCAATATCCAACTGTCCCGATCCCCCACCTTACTGTCTCCTCCCTGAGACCTTCCACGCCCCTCCGACCGTGGCTCATGTTCCCCAATCCCCACAGCTTTCCTATCTTTACCCCGTTCCCCGTCCTCCTTTCCTCTTCTCCTGGCCTTCGCCTTGTTGACCATCCGTCGGCGCACACACATGCTATGATCTCTCGCTCTCTTTGTTCTCCTTTCCCCCTGCTGCGTCGACCCTTCATCGGCGCACGCATGTGCTATGATCTCTCGCTGTCTTTGTTCTCCTTTCCCCTTCCCACGTGATTGTGCGTTAGTTGATCTTCACTCTCCTCTGCACCCGCCTCCTCCCTCCTCCTCCGCACCCACCTTTCCCCTTCCCACGTGACCGTGCGTTAGTAGATCTTCACTCTCCTCCACACCCGCCTCCTCCTTCCTCCTCCACACCCACCTCCACCGCTCTCCTCTCTCCTATGCACGTAACTGCGCTGCCTCTTGCCCACACTGTTGACGACGCCTTGCCACCTTCGCTCGACTGCGCCCCATGCCGATGGCACACAATCGAAATGACACACACGGACAGAAGCTGTATTTGAACGTCTGGAGAACTGCCATGGCTGCATCGAACCCAAGTTGCTGTGTTCTTGTATTCAGACATCTGAATAGCACGCGGGAACGAAACAACGCGTGGCACAAATGACAGGGGCTGTATTCGAATGTCTCCAGAACTGTCATGGCTGCAACAAACCCAAGTTGCTATGTACTTGTATTCAAACATCTCAATAGCACGTGGGAACGAACTACGCGGGACTCAAACGACAGGGGCGCGCGGCACTTCGCTCCAGCTGGGCCCGGGCCCGGGCCTCGGTCCCCCGAGTTTCTTCCCAACACTGGCGAGTCGGGTCTTATGTGGTAGTGTCATGCGATACCCGCTATTCGTTTAAAGCGAACTAGCTAAGTGCGGGCGGTGCGGGCTACGCCCGCAGAAATAACAAATGCAGTGGGTGACCTCACACTGCATTTCGGATGGCTCGCCTCCAAGATGTTCATCCGCAGAAACAACGATGGCCTACCGGGGGCCACAAAACGACAGCCGCGTGAGAAATGAAAAAAGAACGAAGGAAAAGGAAAAAAAAACAAAAAAAAGGGGGGACACAAATGACAGGCGCGAGAAATGAAAAAAGGAGAAGGGGACACAAAACGATGGCCAACTGGGAAAAAAAAAAGAGAAAAAAGCTGCTCGCATATCGGATGGCTCACAAACAAGATGTTCGTCCGCATCAACGCCAGCCGTGTGCCCCGCGCCCCGAGCGCGTGCTCTCGTTTAATGGCGCACTGGGAACATTCGCTACGCGCACCCCTCTGCACACTCCCCCGCCCTCGATCACCTTCATCCGCCGGCCCTCACCAAAACTTCGACCCGAATCCACCGTGCAGCGTGTCATGGAACTCTCCCCTGCGGCCAATGCTGCTTAAGGGATAGGATAAGGGAAATACAAGGAACTAAAATAAAATAAACTGAAGTACAAGAGTTCACTTAGTACAGTGTATTCCATCTGTAGTCCAACTAGAACGAATACCCAGTTCAGCCAACGGGCCATCAAAATGGGGTGCGGGGTGCAAAAAACAAGCACTATGCAAAGCACTAGGCCATCGGACTACTCCCGCAATCCCGCTTACATACCTTCAAACCCCTGGGCCTTGTATTGGAGACAAACACATCAAGCACAGTATTCAGCGCCTTGTTCCCAGTAGCCTTGGCTAATCCGGCCAGGGCACCAAGAGAGAGAGAGAGAGAGAGAGAGAGAGAGAGAGAGAGAGAGAGAGAGAGAGAGAGAGAGAGAGAGAGAGAGAGAGAGAGAGAGAGACCTGTTTGTATGTGTGCCGGTGGCCATAGCTGCTGAAGAATACTCTGAATAAGGGACTTTCAAGTGTGTTCATATCACGTGATCCTTGTGTGTATCGTGTTAGGTTGGCACGATGCTGTGTGTGAGTGAAGTCAAGTCAAGCGGGTGTAAAATCCTCAAATCATTGCGATTACATCTCCATGCAGTTGAGAGCAGACCTGAAACTCGGGGGTTACATGGTTGATGCAGGCTACTACTCAATTCATAAGAGGAAAAAAAATAAGAAAAACAGGATGCATTGAAATTTGAAGGGGGCCGTGGGGGGCAGGGGGAATTTGAGGGGTCTATCAGGGGAGGTCAACATAAACAGTTCAGGAACAAAAGGAAGGGTCTGGAGGGTTACCCTCTCCTAGGAATGGATATGTTAACTTTTGAGAAGATGTTCTTGCTTCTTTCAGATTTTTCAACAAATGAATTACTACTCATCTGTTTCCTGTTGTGATCTGTCAGTGTGAGCATGACTCTCACCAATCCAACTCCAATATTGTGTAGAGCCGACTTGGGCTTTTGATAGCTGTTTGCATCCTAGGCCCTCCGTGGCCCTGTTGGAGTTTGGCAACATGTATTTTTCTTCAACTTTGTGCAGAGGATGTCTGGAGCTTGCACTGGATTACCTATGCTTGACTTGCTCCTTTCTTTGTCCCCTGATTAATGGAATGGGCTTGGATGTGAAAATGTCTCTTAGATCCGTGCTGGAACTATCGTAATGCTTCCAGATGTCAAAGCGATCCAAGCAATTTTTGCAGATGGGTGGCACCAGTAGGTGACAAAACTGGCCAATGCATCAGCTGTAAGTACTCATTTCTGTTTTTCCATATCTTGGCTCCTTTTTTTATCAATACTAGGATAAGAAATTTGAAATTCCTGTCCTTCGAGACATCCGTTAAAATTGGAACGATACAGAGAAGATTAGCATGGCCCCTGCGCAAGGATGACACGGATCCATGCTGGAACTATCGTAATGCTTCCACATGTCAAAGCGATCCAAGCAATTTTTGCAGATGGGTGGCACCAGTAGGTGACAAAACTGGCCAGTGCATCAGCTGTAMGTACTCATTTCTGTTTTTCCATATCTTGGCTCCTTTTTTTATCAATACTAGGATAAGAAATTTGAAATTCCTGTCCTTCGAGACATCCGTTAAAATTGGAACGATACAGAGAAGATTAGCATGGCCCCTGCGCAAGGATGACACGCATAAATCGAGAAATGGTCCAAAAAAAAAAAATAATAATAATAATAAAAAATTGAAATTCCAAAAAACCCACAAACGCTCCTTTTTATGAGACCTCCTTTTCTCTGGGGAAAGGCAGGCCAGTTCCTTTTCCACTGGCAAGCCACAAAAAAACTATAAATTGCTCATGTGTTGAAATTCTTGTTACAGGTGGAGTTACCAGGAGACTAACCTCCCGCCTGCTTCTCTTACCTTTGGCTGGTTGCTCTGTCAGGAACTTAAGCCACCACTAACTTTTACAACTGTCCTTGTTACGCGGGCAGGGCACACTTTTTCAGCTGTTCCAACGGAGTTTTTGTCCTTTTTTTTCTTTTTGGCTTTCTGAAAGGGTTCACCAAAATTTTCAGGTGGTATCCCCCTGCCTCGTTGGCAAAGCTTACTAAGAAAAGAAAAGAAAAAAACAAAATGTATCGACTTTCGGAAAAAAAAAAGAAGAAAAAACGCACTTACCTTTGCCCCGAGAGCTGCGGAGATCGAGGGCCTTGCTCGACTACTGACCAAATGTGCAACATGAGCATGAATCGTCTGGTATAACACAGGTTGATACACTGCTAGTAGTTTAGAGCTTGAAATGCCCTTCTTCCTGGCCGTGTGTGGGGTGGTACAGCCCTCAGTTGCTATTCGTTTTTCAAATTTTCAAGGTTTTTTTTTTTTTTTTTTTTTTCCCCCCGTGATAGAAGAATGTGGGCTGCATCCAACGTCCTAGCTTAATTGGTTAGGCAGGCAAGTGGCATTCAGGAGGTTGTGGGTTCAATCCCCACGGCTGCCTGTGGCACTCTTGGTGCCATCCAGATGAGATAGTGAGCTGGATCCTCCCAGTCGGTATCAGTAAGGTCTTCAGCCAACACGGGTGTGAGTGCGCGTGTGAGTGGGTTGCGTGTGGCGTGTGGGAGAGCGTTGGCTTTAGACACTACCATCCAGAAGGCTGCCCATCCCCCACTTCATAAGACCTTTGCCAAGCTTACTGTCTAGAACATAAAGCATGCTACCTGAATGGCTGCGTCCCCGCGTTTGACGCGGTATAACAGTAGTTTTCCCCCCCTTGCAATCAGACTCACTTTATTTCTCACTTTGCATGCATACGAACAGATGGCAAACCAAACTGGCGCTAGGCGCCCACTCAAAGCGCTGAGATATGAGAACAGTTCAGATGCAAACTCGCTTCAACAGGCTATGGCGACTGCGCGCCCAACAACTCTCTTCACCGACACACTGTCCACAACCATTGTTCGCATACACTCCACTCTGGATCACCCTGGATATCCCACACGCTTCCCTGTACTACACACACATACACACTAAAGCCTATTTTCAACCTACAGCGGCTATGGCCGCGCAACTACTACTGACTATGGCTACGCTATCTTCCTTCAGCCCACTTCGACTTCGGGCGACCTGCAGACCACCTCGCACAAGACGCTGGGGCAGCGCTTCCGCATGGCTCACGCAGCAATCAATGAATGGCTGGGCGCTGCCTCTAGATTTATACCACTGTAAGTCGTTGGTCTTCCCTTTTCCACCGGGTCCATGGTGCACACAGTCCCTCATGGTACTTGCTGAATGTGCAAAGTGAGACTGGGACTGGGTACCGCTGACTAAGCGAAGTTGGACTCACCACTTGCCCACTTGCCTCTGGTCTGCTGTGTAAAACGTGAGAAGAAGCTTGAAAGGCCAATTCCGGACCTTCCGGAAGTTTGCAGACTTGGCCTTTAAGGACTGTAGCAGCGACGACCTTGACCTTTCAGGACTGTAGCAGCTACGACCTTGACCTTTCAGAACTACAACAACTATGACCCCTATGCAGGTATGACCCCTACTTCGACAGGTCTAAGGTTTGAGACCCGACAACTACTCAGACCTACGACAGACAACTCTCAACTACTAACATGCAGGTCACGGGTTCAAGACTCACTGGGTCGACTTAATACTGTACACAGGTAAGGTAAGGTAAGGTATGGGGATCGAACTCTGGGATCCGCATCTGTGACTGCAAAAGGTGAAAACCGTTTCACCCTGTTTCATCTTTGTTTTCTCTGCTGCGTGTTTCTGTTTTTTGCATTGCCGTCCCATTGCCCCTTTGTTGGACTCAATGTTTTTAGTTCTTGTGTGTGCGGGGCGCAAAATGAGGTCTGTGACACACACTGTGGCATATGTAGATCCCACATGGGCCCAGTAGGACCCGTCAGGTAGGTAGGAAGGGGTAGGGACTTAGCTTCAGTCTGGCACATTAGTTTTGTGGCCCGAAGTAGGGCCTGTGTCGGTTCAGGCCAGAAAAGGGCCGTTTTAGGCTCACACCAGGTTCGGCCTGGCCAGGCCCTGGTACCGGTAACAGTTCAGGGTCAGGCCTCCTTTTTCTCCCAGGCCACACTTGGACCATCAGATTCGATCCAAGTGTACGTCCAGATTGTTTCCCAGGCCGGACTGACGTGGGACTGATGCGAACCGGAGCGCGACCGCGCCCACACCGGGCGGGAAAGCACGCGTCGCCGGGCGGGAAAGCGCCACGCACCATCGGTGCGCGCCATCAGCCTTTTCAAACAATCGAATTTTGGGCGGGAAGCACCTGGAAGGACGATAGGACCAAGTACATCGCAACAAGCCATGCCTCCGGGCGTGGCTCCGCCATCGCCGAATAGGAAAAGAATGGTCAGGGAAGGAAAGGAGGGATCGAGACGGAATACAAGGAAAGGGGAAGCATCTCATCCGGGGAGAGAAGAGTGGAACTGGAGCAAAGGACAAGACCAGGGAACAAGGAAGAGGACAAAGTATTCCGGGGAGAGAGGAGGAGAAGGAGAGAGAGGAAGGACATAGACCAATTGAGAAGGACGACCACCAAGAAGAAACCGACAAATCAAGAGGAGCGAGGTACCAGAAGTGACGAGCGGAGGACATAATCTTCATCATCACAGTTCCACAATAAGGTCAGACTGACTTCCTTCTATTATAAGGTAAGAACACTCGCAAGAAAACCCCAACCGTGATTGAGCCTGAAGGATGCGAAAGCAACAAAAGCTCGACAGGGGAGCGAGGGTCTTCAGCGGRTTCCAAGTGGATTTCCAGGGAGGGACGAAGGTTTCGACACGATAGAGATTACGAACAAGTGATAGCATTGGCGAGTCTCCCCACATCGGGCAGTAAAGGGAATCGTTCGAACGCAGCGTGTAGAAGTCGGGGTCGCTATGAGACAAAAGCAGGCAATCAGTAGGGAAGAAGTCGAGTCGGATCCAACCCTTTCCGTACCCTGTCCAATCCATACCACTCATCCCCCACACCACACAGCCCCTCTTGTCCAACCCCATTTCCATATCTTACGCAAACGAGCAAAGCGGCCGGATCAGTCAGGAGGACCTCATGTCAAGCCCCATTTGAATGTCTTAGGCAAACGAGCAAAGCGACCGGATCAATTAGGAGGACCTCATCTCCAACCCCATTTCAATGTCTTAGGCAAACGTGCAAAGCGACCAGATCAGTGAGGAGGACCTCATCTCCAGCCCCAGTTAAATGTCTTAAGCAAACGAGCAAAGTGACCGGATCATTCAGGAGGACCTCATCTCCAGCCTCATTTCAATGTATTAAACCACTCGTACCTCCGAGCCTATTTTCGACTTGGTCTACCTCTGAACTTTCAGGAGGCCGAACCCGCTGTTGAGAAATCTGATCGGCGACCATCGTTTCGTTTCGGTCTCCTGAAAGGTCAGAGGCCGAGTATATTCGAACCGAGAAAGGTACTAGCGGTATAAGCAAACGAGCAAAGCGACCGGATCGCTTAGGAGGACCTCATCTCCAGCCCCATTTCAATGTCTTAGGCAAACAAGCAAAGCGACCGAATCAGTCAGGAGGACCTTATCTCCAACCCCAATTCA